ATGTTGTTCATTTAACAGGTGAGGAAACAGCCCAGGTATGACTAAGACCTCATCCCAGGTCACGGACAGCTACTCTCTGACTGAAGGATGAAGTTTCACTGTCATGGGGGTTAGTAAAGTAAGAAATTCTTCTACCCAAATCCTTCAAGCTTCTTGTATATTTAATAAAGGGCTCTTATAAGAAAAAAACCTAGTATGCTGTTTGCCTTTGTATGCTAGAAATAAGATTTAGAAAGATTTTGCCATTTGTGTGATATTTTAGGTGATACATTAAAATATCAGATCATATTTTCACAAGTTCCCAGTATTTGTATCCAATTATTGGTTAGAATGATTGTGTAGTGTTTCCCAATGCTTCTTAAAAGAAGGTTTTTCTTTTAATTATTAAGAGTAAATGTTTGATAGTAACAGCAAAAAAAAAAAAAAGAAAAGAAATTGCCAGAGAGAATAAGAGTAAAAGCAGAGTCACTTTCATCGCCTACTGAAGAGGAAGCTCAAAGTTTTTCCAGGCCCAGCATGGCTCTGACCAGGTGGGTACTTTGCCTGATAACATGGTCTCACTGTCAGGTGCCTTTGTTCAGGAAAAGAATCACACCCAAGGTGACTGTTCGACTTGAAGGCAGCTGTCTCTGGAGGTGATATTTAAAATACAGATCCCTAGTCTCTACTCCCAGAAAATTTTGACTCAGAAATTTGGAGGAGCTAAAATGATATTTATGTTGTCTAAAGCTCCCTTGAATGACTCTGTTGATCTGCCATTTGGCCATGAACAACATTCTACCTGTACCAGTTCTTCTAGTCAGTTCTGACCTTTGTTGTGGCATTAGTTACGGGAGTTTGGGCAAATCAAGTAAAATTGCTGAGCTTCAAATTGCATGCTGGGTGATGTCAGGGTCACCACAAGGGGCCACACTTCTCATGAGGCTGTGTGTATGGAAGAGTTTTAAATCTCAAGTTGTTAAGCATGTCTGTGACTTGACTTGCCAAAGATAACTCTAGGTAGGAGAGAGGTCTTCAGAGCCTATTCCACGCCAGGCACTGTCCTTGGCACTTTACCTTTTCAATTATCCATTTTCATGATTGGATGAACCAATCAGGCACTGTTGCATCTGCAGCTTCCCAAGTACCTCGTTCCAAACCTGTTACCTCTGTTTTGTCTTTTCTGGATTACAGACTTTTGGATTTAGCTCTGGTGCTGTTTGCCTCTTTGACCACTATGCTCACACCCTCAATCCTTCTCTTTATTCAGACCCTCATGCTTTCCAGGGGACATTTGGTACCTGTAATTCCATTTTATACATAGRTCCTATCATTCTAGTTACTTAGACAGAGCTGTGAGACACAACCATTCTGAAAGTTAAATACTATTATCTTTTTTTTAATCTATAAGAAAGATTAGATGTGGTGATGATAAGTAGCCTGCCCAAGCTCCCCCAATCAATAGGTAGCAGATTGGAATCTACAGGCAGGAACCATGTGGTCCCAAATCCTGAGACTGTTCTACTAAGCCATGCCAGTTCTCAAGCATCCCAGGAAAATGAGAGCTACGAAAAAAAGATGAGTCAGAGACTTTTGTCCTTCTTATTTTGGCAAATTTCGGATCCACTTCAGAAGTGGATTGATAGCACTCAGTTTTTGAAAACCTGCCCTCATTTTGAAGAGTGTTTATAGTTGCTTGGATAAATTCCCCCATTCTTCTTGCCTCTCTGGTCTTTGTTCCTGAGGCAAAGGCTCATTTTCCTGGCTATGATCTATACCACAGACCTCAGAGTKCATTCAGAATGACTTGTGTGTGCCCTATCTAGCTTTTTCCCCAAAATCAACCTTTGGTGGTTCTAAGAGTGGAGAGTGTTGAGGCCTAGGATTTGGGGGGGGGAAAAAAGAAAGAAAAAAAGGAAAGAAAAAGAAAAAAAAAGCCCAAGAATAAAAGGAATTATTTTCCTTTTTGTTATGTTAGTTGTTACAGCACTTGTAGGCTTCTTTGGTTATGTCTGTTGCTTGCATTTGCCTCCTAGTTATCCCGATAGCCTACAACAGAGTCTGGGATAATAAAATGCATGTTTGGGGAATAATTGAAGGGACACTTTAAGGTTTTTTACACCAACAATGCAATTATAGTCTATTTTGGAGAGATGGAGAGTGTACTGGACAACCATGTATCGTACTTTATATGCATGAGCATAAAAAAGCCATGGTTTCCAAGTGCAGGCTGTTGTACGTACAGTAGAAGAAAAATACTGTGCAGCTCCATTGTTCATCAGGTTTCCTATTCCATGTTAAACGCTGACTAAGGAAGGCCTTTATGGGGCACACACATCACTGGTTATGAGTTTAGATTGTGCTGAAAGACAACCAGCCTCATGTGCACCAGTTCCCAAACCTCCCAGGAAAGAGGTGTTGGTGGGGGACAGAGGGTAGATTCGTGGAATCAGAAGCCAGAGGGAGTAAACCTCASTGTTAAGCAGAGTGGCCAGTGCTTTGCTTCCAAAAAGAGTGAGGGACTATTTGGGGATAGGAATGTGCTTGGCACTTACCAGGAGGAGAACACTCTTCTACATGATGTTTTTGGTGGAAAAAAAAATAAGTAAAATAAACCTGTGAAGCACCATTGGGGGCACAGACTCAGGACTGATGCTGGATTGTGAAAAGTGTTTTTGTCTTTGGTTTGGTTTTTATGCTGGGCTAAAATCCCAGCATTTGGAGCTCAAAGTTGTTGATTTCCCAAGCAGAGTAAGTTCTCCTTGGCTCGTTATGGTGGGGACAAAACTGACTTAACCACACCTCAGGTTYCCAGTGTTTAGAAGTCCTTCATGTTTCTTTCGACTCTTAAATTTTCAAAGGGGGGAGCATGTTTAGTTGCTTAATATTTCTGTATATCTTAAAGGACCCTTCAAATTTATCATCAGAGACACACCAAAGCACATTACAAGTAATGTAAGCCAGCTGGTGCTTTGCAGGCCAAAATCAGTTGATGGTTTAATAGTAAAAACCATCTTTTTGTTAACATTTTTCTGGAGCACATCACCAAGGAATGCATGGCCCCTTTCTGCATTTTTTAGAAAAGAACTGTCTCATTAGTTCTTTCCTCAGGTTTCTGAATACTTTTAGGATATGCAATATCGATCTGCTTTCTCTTGAGAATGTTCTCAGAGCTATCGAAACCATCTTCTAAGCTTCAGTAAAACTGCTTTTTAATTTAGACTTGTGGATTCTCCAAGTCTGCCCACTTAGATCACATCTAATACACTTACATAAGGTCAGAAAAACTTTCTTGTTGGGGACATAGCTAATCTATGTCCTCTACTCTGGGTCACGCATAGGTAATTGATAAAATATTCAGAATGATCATTAGAGATTTGTCATTTCTGCTGTTTCTTTCTATAGCAAAATTCTGTTTGAGTCATGATTCACAGGTTCATTCAGCAAGAATAGAAAGGGTAATAGGGAAGAGGAATAGGATCAAAGCAAATTATATGCATGTATGAAAATGTCACAATGGAACTCACTACTTTTTATAATTAATATTGCCAATAATTATGATAATAATACTAATCAAGAAGAAATTAGGCCAGGTGTGTGGTGCAAACCCATACTCCAAAGCCTGAGGCAGGAATATCCCAAGTTCAAGTTCAAGTTCAGTTCAGTCTGGGCAACCCAGTGCAATCTTGTTTCAGAATAAAGAATAAAAAGTGTGTGGGGGATGTATTTCAGTGGTAGAGATGATAAAGCACACCTGTGTTCAATACCCAGTACTGTTAAGAAAAAAAAGAAATACAAAGAACAGGCCAGAAAAATGCTCCATGTATCCAGCAAGTTACCAACACCCCAACCATGCTCATTCCTGTATCTTTACAAATACTGTCCCAAACTCAACTTACAGCCCATCCTAAAATGACTTCCTCCTCCAAGGAGCCCATTCTATCCAGCTTTACCCTCCCCTTCACCCCACTCCAACCTAGTTTATAAAAAATTGTACCTAGTTTTATTTTGATCATATTATCAGACAGTGAGATRGTGAGATGCTCAAAAAGCAAGGACTGTGCCTGATGTTTTGCTGCATCGTACATCTTGTAGCTTTGTAGCCTCCCTAACAACTGGAGCATAATCTGAAACATCATGGTAACTATGCCTGGGATATTGTGCCAAGTTACCACAGGCTTGTATGAGGAAAGATGAATAAAGAGATATCTCTAACTTGAATTTTATTAGCTACACAGATCTATCTTTAGAGCAAGATATTATACAAAAGAAAAAAATGTTATTGTCATGTATACAACAGTAGAGTTTATTGCATGCAAAATTTTCCCAGCACAATTTTTTTTTCTGGAGGTAACTCCTAGATTAAAAATCTTGGATCTGAAAAGGTTTACCTCCAGAAGAACTTTGCTGGGAAAATTTTGCATGCACTAAACTCAATTATCTAATTGCATCTTCTCAACAATCCCGAGGAAGTGGTTACTATTCACATATTACAGACGTGTAAACTGAAACGCAGAGTAGTTAAAATGCTGACTTGGAACTTCATCAGCGCTCCTGAATTTAAATTGTTTTTCTCTCTGTAACAAGAAGAAAACTGGAGAGGAAGAGAGTGAATGACACGAATAATGGTGCTGGGAAAGGAACTCTGCACCATTACCTGACTCACTACACTGCCCCGGATGGGAAAGTATTTTAATCATGGAGGAAAGTAGCATGATCCTGTCTTCATCTCTTTGCATTTGGACCCTTCCTTTATGGAGGGGCTATAAACTCCAGAGATTCAAGGATCCCTCCTTCTTGGTCACAGGCATGTCTTTGAGCAGAAAACATGGTGCACAAAACCCCAGAGGCAAAGGAAAAAGATGATTCACTGTAGCATGATGATTTCCATTGGTGCAGCTGGGGAGAGACATGGTTTCTGCCAACATCCGCTGACGTCTCTTTGTGCCAACCCCTAAAATAGAAACCCCTGAGAAAAAACAGGAGCATCCCTCAGAAACACAAGAAGTCTGTCTGGGATTCGGTTACACGTAAAGATTGGCTTCAACTGGCTTCGCCCTGTGCTGAATTCCCACCAAGTCTCCCTCCTCCTGCCTCTGACTCACTCAGCAGCCAGCCCTACTTTTCGGGTGAGTTTTCTCTTAGAAGCATTTTCTATTTTTTTCCTTTTTTTTTTTTATAACTTTGAACATATTTTTTATTTTAAAATTTTTAATTGACACGTGGTAACAGTACATGTTAATGGGGTACCGAGTAACATTTCAACACATTTACACTGTGTAATGATCAGATCAGAGTAATTGGCATCTCTGTCACTCAGACATTTATTTCTTTGTGTTAGGACCATTCAGAATACTCCCTTTTACTAGAAATTTTGAAATACGCATTTAATTGTTTCTATTCTAGATAAATAAACACCAAAATATGAGACTCATTTGTGCATAAGTACTGTCGTTTTCCATCTTTTATCTTCGTACATATTTCATTTTATTTAAAATAAATTATTCCTAGAGACTAAAGACTATTAACCCACCAAAATGCATTCACCTACCAAAGACAAAATCCCAGTAAGACAATGGCATTGCTACCTTATTTGCTATTCCAAGTGACATTTCCTCAGATGTTGCTTCCTTGCTGTGCAAACATAGTTACGCATGAAATAAAGTAAAAACAACAACAAAGAAAAGAATTAAACAGCAGTTAGTGGTTGGATGTTATTTCCAGTTTGGAACCACTGACCGGGCAGCTATAGAAAACTCTTCCCTCTGTTATTACAAAATAACAGTTTATGGATGGTGAAAAGAAAACACAAGTGAATTTTCTTTTAACTTCAAATACAGAAGCTGGTGTATCTATCATTACCACCACAGCACAATACGTTATGGGAGAAGGTCATCGTAACTTTAGAGGGGTTATTTCCATCCACATCTCTCATCCTCTCAAAATTGTTGTTCTACCAGGACCAAGCTGATGCCAGATGCTCTGCTAAAGAAAACATGCCAAATTGAAGCGAGTTAATTAGAGAGAATGAGATAGAACTAAAAGGTCAATGCAGGGGACCCAAGGCCAACACAGGTCTTGTTACCACGCCCTCGATACAGAAGCACCAAAACATTCCCTGTCCTCCCCTTTCAGTTTTGCCTTTATGTTCAATTCTCCTTTTCCAGATAGACAGGTTATCCTTTATCCTAACGATCAGAGCTCTGGTCTTTGTCAATGACCACCTATCAATGAAAAGAATTCTCCCAGTTTCATCCTTCAAAAAATGTTCTCATTAAAACAATATCAATAAAATAGCTAATATTTATTGAGATTAACTGCATGCCAGGTAATATTCTTATTTATATCACAGGACACTCCCATGAGGTGGCAGTTAGATACTTCATATTCCAGTTATGTGTCTAACTGAACTATCCTCATAGGGGATTTCTGTGATGGAAGGAAGAAGTTTACATCATTGCCATCCTCAACCCCAGCCCCTTGTCAGTCTTAAGTTGATGCCTTTGGAGTAGAACAGCTGTTCACTGAAGAATCTCACGCTCCAGAATACTTGAGGGTATCTGACTGATCTGAGTAGCCAGTGAAGACTGCATCCATATATTAAGTATGCCAAAATTAAAGAAAAGACCAGGCCCTTTTCTTGGGTCCCCTACATGGACCTTTTAGTTCCATCTCGTTCTAACTAGCTCATTTCAATGTGGCATGTTTTCTTGAGCAGAACACAAGTACACTAACATTTCAAATGGCTATGTCTTCATAATTTGTACTCGATATATAAATGTGTTTCCTGGATAACAGATTCACTAGGAACGGCAGCACTGAACAAGGGGCACAGTGCAGAGATCTCAGAACTGGAGCACGTAGCTTTATCTGACATCCCTCAGCCTGTGGAGGGCATGACCTGGAGTCAGCCCTCCAGTTGGCATTGCCCTTTCAAAATGAGCTCCCACCCTTGAGGACACTCAGCTTTCACAGCCACAGAGTTTGCATCATCATTTAGAACATCTCTTGGATTCTTCTTGGTTTGAGATGGAAAAGTAAATCATTATCTTGCTTTTTTTCCCCCGCTGTCTCTAAAATGAACTAAAGGCAGCATACAGAACACAAAACAGAAAAGGGCATGCTAACTGAGGTGAGTTCATAGAACACCTGTACTCTATACCACAATGCATGGATGATGACTGCTGAGAGAACAAAACTGGAGGGGCAGTAAGAAAGGACACCAGAAATTGGCGCTTGATTTTAAAGACCTTGAGCCAGAGAAAGATGAGCGCAATCACCTCATGTTTGGGGCAGTACAGGAAGCACTGGTAGAATAACTCCTGGAATCCAGCTCGACTCCATACCATGCCAGGCAAATGGGTTGAGTAGCAAAGGAGCACCTTCTTTGAAGAAGCAGATGCTTACTGTGGACAAATGTTGTGTTAGGCAGCTTTTTGTCTCTGTGAGAAAATGTCTGACAGGCACCACTTAGGGGAGGAAGTTTATTTTCCGCTCCCGGTTTCAGAGGGTTCATCCCTGGTTAGCTGGCACCATTGCCCTGGGCCTCACCTGAAGAAGAACATCATGACAGAAGGGTGGCAGCAGAGGAAAACCACTCAGTTCATGGCAACTGGGAAGCAGAGAGGTGGAGGGCCAGGGGCAACATATCTAAACCAAGAGTAACCGCTCAGTCACCCACTTCCCCCAGGCATGCCCCATCTGCCTCAGTTACCACCTAGTCCGTCCATTCGAATTATTAATCCATTAATTAGGTTACAGCCTAATCATCTCATCTTCCATCTCTGAACATTCCTGCATTGACACAGGAGCTTGTGGGGAACACCTCATAACCAAACTAGATCAGGTGGAAACCAAATTACATTATATTGGTGCCTCCCGCCCCTGCAAGTACACCCAACCTCTCAGTCTCCATGCCCAGGTCAGGTAACATCATGAAGTTTTACTCTAAGTAGAAAGGTGTTCTTTTCACCTGGCCCTTATTTGCAACTACAGGGTGAACTGTTGAGAAAGTTTCTGGACAACCTTTCATAGTATTAGTAGCAAGAAAAAGAGAATAATAAAATGACATTAAATTTATTTTATATATATATATATATATATATATATATTTTAAAGAGAGAGTGAGAGAGTGAGAGAGGAGAGAGAGAGAGAGAGAGAGAGAGAGAGAGAGAGTTTTTTAATATTTATATATTTTTTTTAGTTCTCAGTGGACACAACATCTTTGTTGGTATGTGGTGCTGAGGATCGAACCCGGGCCGCACGCATGCCAGGCGAGCGCGCTACCGCTTGAGCCACATCCCCAGCCCTCTAAATATATATTTTAGGAAATGTAGAAATTAATTGATCTGAAAAATCAAAAGGCAAATAAAGAACTATACAAGAAAACAGTATATGGTAAAGTTTCATCAAAGTAAGAATTTAAAGGGAGTGTCTTTCTGAAGCAAGAGTCCAGGATTGATCTAGAGGGGATCAATTAAAGTTTGGAACACCAAACTAGCAGAACTCATGGGAATAAAAAAAAAGAAAAAGGTTCAGAAGGAAACAGGGAAAAAAAACAGTTAGATACTACTGAAAAAAAATTAGGAATCAGTAAGGAAGGCTAGGGAAATATGAACAAAGTGAAAAATTTTAAATAATTTTAAAAGATAATAAAGCAGATGGCATATGAAGGACTATCAATCTATGTATGATTATTGTCCCTAAAGACATGTGTAGGACAAATGGAACAAGAATAAAATATTTGGATATACTGCAAAATAAGCTTTTCTAAAGTCTGGAAATACTGTAATCTTTACAGGTAACAGTTACACCATATTTCAGAAAAATAATTCAGACCCATAAGTGCAAATATGTGATCTAGTATGCTAATGACCTACAGTATCTAAAAATAATTCTGGAGACATGCTCAATAAAACAAGTCCAGCGATCTATGAAGCAGCAAAAAAACGAATATTTCCTCCCTCAGTTTGGCATCTAGCTTTGGAATGCCTGATGTCTTCCATGTGGCTAGGGAGCTCTTCCCCACAGCATCAGTGGGGGTGAGGCACAGTGAGCAGTTCTAGGGATAGCCCCTTGCCCAGCCTTCCTGTAGTCAGGGCAAAGATCATGATGTGGGATTCACCAACCAGTCACACCCAGGTCATATTTTGACCCAGGAGCCACTAGTGGGAGGACAAGAGAAGGGAACTCTATCTTTGGAAGTGCCAGAAAGAGGTGGCTGAAAGGTCAGGTTCCTGGCACTGATACTTGAATGAAGTCTAGAAGCAGCCATGGTGAAAACTGTCGTGTCGTGGGAGAAGCTACAGTCTCTTTTTTTGGTTTGTCTTAATTCATTTTTATTTTTTGATCTTTAGGTACAAAGAGTTGGGTTAATCATTCTCTAAGATGGTAGTGATTCACTGGTATATGGTTACTTAGTTATTGAGATTATACTATTCATTCTCTTTTATCTCCCCAAATATTTTGCTTTCACTTTATAAGTAGCATTATTATCTATCCACCCATCTATCTATCTCTTTATCWATCTATATACAGTCTTGAAAACATTATACACATGTGTCTATATCTATACAGTCTATTTAGTTTTGCTCAGGATATATTTTAATTAACAAAATGCTTTGAGCTGCAGACCTCATTCAGTTTCTCAATATGTGGTGTCAATATTTTGCATCTCTAACATTGATGGTGTTCACACCTCTAATTTTTCCTTCTGTGCTTGGTAGTCCTCCACACTGTGTGCCCTTCAGTTTTACTCACCCATTTCCCCAAAGAATGGGTGAACAGCTTGCTCTGACCATACAACTGAGCARTGCTTTGGAGTACACCCTTGTCACATGTCTCCTGTGGACCTCTTGAGAATTTCACTGAGATACATGCCCAGCCAGAGGGCTGCTGAAATGTAGGGTATAACTAAAAATTGATAAGCTGCATTCAGAACACATCAACAGTTACACTTGTGTAAAAACAAATGCTTCCTCTGTACATTGCTGACAAAACTTGGCACTACCAAGCCTTCTGATTTTTCCAGTGTAGTGATATTGCGGTCTTGTTTTAATTCATATTTCTATAATGAACAGTGATTGTGAGCATCTGTTCATGAGCATTTTCATACCCATCACCCACTTTTCTGCCGGATCTTCTCTTTCACTCATTCAATTGGAAGGGCTTCCTCCTGTATCCTAACAAATTCCTGTCTTATGCTCATGGACATTGTACATACATCCTACCAGTATCTGATTTTGTTCTTGGTGTCTTTTATTAAGTGCAAGTATTTACATGTGTTCTAATCATATTCATATCTAACCTTTTGTTTGTGCTATTGGGTAAAAATCTAGAAGTCCCATGCTTCTATTTTTCTATGAATTTTATCCTTTTATTTTAATGTGAAAGTTTTAAATTTACCTTTGTATACACTAATGAATAAGGAAAAACTTTCATTTTCTTCATAAAGTAAGCCACTTTCCCAGCGCTATTTGGTAGTTTTTCTTTTCTCATTGATTTTGTTGATATGTTTATTATATATTAAATTCCTAGTTTTATTCAAKTGTATAAATAAATTCCAAATTCTATTCTCTAGATCCATCAGCCTGTTCTTAAATCACTGTTTATTTTATTCTGATTATATTAGTAGTACATTTTAATACCCTGCAGTGCTTTTGCCTCTGTTTTTGAAAAGACATAAAAAAGAACTCTGCATAATGGAAAATAATATTTTATAAAGGTTAATTCCATTATTTAGCAACCTCTATACTTCTACAGAAATTTTATCCTTAAAAAAATCTCCCAAACAAAAATAATTCTTTGAAAACACTAACACATCCCAGCACATTGTCACATGCCTGCAATCCCAGCTGCTGGGGAGGCTGAGGCAGGAGAATCCCAAGTCAATTCAGCAAGATCCTGTTTCAAAATTGAAAATGGGCTGGGGATGTGCCTCCGTTGTTAAGAGTCCCTATATTCAAACCCTGGTACCAAAAAAAAAAAAAAAAAAAAAAAAAAAARAAAAAAAGAAAGAAAAAAAAAAAAAGAAAARGATAAAAATACTAACACATTGATTAATTGATTAGTTGATTAGTATAGCTATAGCTTTGATTTTCTTGATTTTAGAAAATTTACTTTGATAAATATTTTCCATTATGCAGAGTTTTTTTWATGTCTTTTCGTAGCTTAATATTTTCTCCACAGTGACTTATACTTTTCAATTTATATATACCTTTTATATTTGTTGTCCATAGAAACCATACATTATTTTAATTAAATATTCCAGTTAGCTATTTAAGGAAGGAGAAATTTAATGATATCATTAAGAATGGTCAACATTGTGTTTTCCAAATATTGGTAATATATATAAAATATTTGCCATTTATGTAATATAAGGTGTTGGGCTATAGTTTTATTTTAATGTATGCACATTGAGTCCTGATTATAATTTATTTGTGCTTCATTAAGTGAATGTAGCAAATTATATTAATAGACCCTGTGATGTTAACCCATTCTTCCACTGTTAGCAAAGATAATGATTAAGCTTGATATGTCATTTTTAAACATATTGTTGAATCTGAATAGTCACTACTAATCACATTACTTAGTAATTCCTCTTCCACTGTTTTCTCATCCTGTCTTCTCATTTTTAGGCAGTTGCTGACTCACTTTACAAAATTTAGCTATCATTTTCTAATTAGTTTTGAGACTTTAAAATGTGTATTCCAGATACCAATTGTTACTGGACATATTACTGGCATGTATTTTTTTTTCAGTCTGTGTTCTGTCTTTTCATTCTTTAAACATGTTTTTCAAAGAGTATAAGATATTATTTCTGATGAAATTTAATTTATCATGTTTTTATTCTAGACAGTGCTTTTAGTGAGATGAGAACACCCCTATTCAAGCTTATAAAGACTTTCTTGTTTTCTTCTCAAAGCTTAACACTTTCAAGTTGTGTGTAGAGATTTGTCATTGATCTGAGGCATGCATTGAATTTCATTTGTTTTTTACATATGGATATCCAATCAATCCAGTACTATTGAAGAAAAACGTTACTATCTTTCTACTCTGAGTTGGCTTCACATTTATAAAAAAAAAAAATAAATTGTTCAAATTTCTTTTCTAGTACAACATTTATATTCTCAAGGAATATTTCTAGACTCTCTATTCTGATTAATTGAACTACTTGTTAATCTTTGTGCCAAAACCTCAACACCTTGATTAAGGCATCTTCTTAATAAACCTTGAAATGAGGTGGTGATGATTCCCCAATTGCACTATTCTAGGTTCTTAAAATTTTATATATGAATGCTAAAATCAGTTTGTCAGTCTAACAAAAATGTCTTCTGAGATTTTTGATTTGGTTTGTCTTAAAATTGAAGTTCAGTTTGGGGAAGACACATCCATCTGTGTCTTCTGACCCAACCACACAATATATTTCACTATTTATTTAGGTTTTAATTTCAGTTAGCAATGTTTTTCAGAATTTTGTGAATGTGGTTTATATATTTTTGCAAGATTTATTTTTTAATTTAAGGATTGAATGTTTTAGAAGCTGGAGAAAAATAAGTGTGAAATGAAAACTGAAGAGAGATCTGTGGAGTAGAAGAAGTGGGCAGAGAGGAGAAGAGGAGGAATGGGAAAAGGGAGGACTGGTGGAATGAACTTGACCAGACTGTGCTATGTATATATATGGACATACCACAGTGAGTTTCACCTTTGTGTGTATCTATAATGCACTAATTCAAAACACTATAAATAATTAGATGGAATACCAGTAGGGTAGAAGAAGGGGAATGAGGAGAGGGCAGAGGAGAGGGAAAGGGGGAGTACTGGGGACAGAGCGGAGCATATTATACTCCATGTTTGGATATGATCATGTCAAAATGAACCCCGTTATTATGTATAACGAAAATGTACTGAACAAGATTTATTTCTTATCCCATCATACTTGATGCGATTTAAATGGTACAATTTTAAACTTCAAGTTCTGATTCTTTGTTGTTAGTATACAGAAATATGATTGATATTTTTATACCACTTTCTAGTCAGTTCAGTGGTATAAAATAGTTCCTTAGATGATCCTGGCGTTCATGAATAAAGGTGATTTTTTTCTCTTTCTTCCTTATCCGGATGGCGTCTTCCTRCTTCTTCCTTGTGCTGGTAGGAGCCTCCAGTCGCATGGTGACAGCACCAGTACTTCCTGATCCTTGCACACTAAGGATGATGGCAGCTGTTGGTTTTCTCAGGGGCCTTTCCCAGATTGAAGAAGTTCCATTCTGTTGCTTGTTTGCTGAGGRATGTTTTATTTTGTTTGTTTGTTTGTTTGTTTTAATGAGGAATGGATGTTGGGTTTTGTCAAAAGCATTTTCTGCATTCTTCATAAACACAAATCTCCTTTCAGTAAACAATAAAATATTTATTTCAAGATGTTGAAGTGGTGATTTTTTTTCTTCTTACAAAACACTATGTGTCAGAGTAAATGTGTGTGTGTGTGTGTGTGTGTGTGTGTGTGTGTATTATCCTTCCAGTCTTGAAATGAGCAGTCTCATTTTTTCCATATTTTATATTTCTGAATTTCTACATTTTCTTTTTAAACTTTACCTTCTTTCCTGCACTCCCATGGAGAGTAAAATTATCTTCTCCAAATTTGAAAAGTCATGCATTCTCTTTCTTTTCTTAATAGTKATTGGACTTCTGACACAGGGATGCGTTTTATTGAGTCTTTTCAATGTTTGAACTTATCAAGGCTCTGCTTCCTCTCGATGACAAAGAAAACTCTTCTACCTTCTTTCAATTTTCTTTGATCCATAGTATAAACCATTTCCTAACATGTCTGGAATGAAATAATAAAAAGTGACATTTCAATTCAGTAAATAAAGAATGGCATGTTTAATAAAAAGCATTGGCATAATTACTCATCATGAGAACAATAAAGTTAAATCCTTATTAAATCCGTGTAAAAATAATTTTTTATGGATTAAAAATCCAAGCTTAAAAATCATAAAAATACAATATTTAAAGTTAAAGCATTTAGGAGAATATTGGTATTATTTCAGGGCAGGAAATGCCTTTTAGCTAAACAGGAAACCAGAAACCATAAATAAAATTATGGAAGATTTTTTTGCATTCCATGAAATGTCCTAAAAATATTGTAGAATTTATTTGTTACATATTTTTGCTGTGATCATTATTTACATTTTATAAGACATTGCTAATTGTTTTTCATTTATTCTTGCTGTGAAATCAAATATACGTTTTATGTCACATAGCTAAAATCTTCTTGCTATTTCACTTAAAAAAATATTCTATTTTTTTCTTCAAAAACTTTTTTTTTCCTGCATCCCATCAACTTTCTATTCTAGGTGATGTACACCTGTCCACTGTGGGACTTACTTTCATCTTACTTCTCTATTCACTCCAGTGTGTCCTCTTCCTCATGTTTTCTTTCTCTTGCTCACTTTTTAAAAATTTATTTTCTTGACTATATTATCCAGAAATTTCCCAAGAATAATGTATGGGAAAAATTCTATAGAGTTGTATMTGTAGTTCTTACAAGTTCTGATAATTTAGCTGAATATAGAATTCTAGATTGAAACTGATTTATTCTTAGCACTTGGGAGGATTTCTTTCAGGCTTCAAGCATCCATTATTGGTGATAAGAATTTTGATATCAGTTTGATTTTCATCCTGTAAAGTTAGTGTGCTTAACCTTTGAAAGATTTTTATTTTTGTGTTGTAAGATATTCAAAAAAATAATGAAAGAATTCAAGTGTGTATGTCTGTGTATTGGTGTTATCTTGAGGAAACTTTGATGTTCCTCTGGATTGAAAAATTATCTTTTTATTCTTCTGGTAAATTGTTTTCCATTATTTATGTTTTAAACATCCTTCTTATTTTTTGTTAAATCATTTTAGAATTTTATTAAATGCCAATCCTATTAGAAAACTTTTCTAGATAACTTTCCTGTTCTATGTATTTATTTGTACTCTTGTCTGGGAAATTTATATCAATTTTTGCTTCTAGTCCTTCTACTGAACTTTGTGGTTAGGTAAAGTAGTCTTTCATTTCTAAGAAGTGTCCCGTGGTTCTTCAATTTTCTTTTGTAAGGGTATTTGAAATCATTTCCTGGTGTTGTTTTATAATGGCAACAATATACCCAATCCTTCTAATATTTGTGACTTTATAATATTTTCTCTTCCCGGAATTATTTATTTATTTCGGTATAATTGATCTGGATATTTTTATAATCCTCATCCATTATTCCTACTTATTTTTCTGTATTTGTGGTAAAGTGTGGGTTGCAGGTTCTATTTTGGAAAAGGGTATTATTGATTGTCTTTAGATAGTTGGGACCCTGTTCCTCTTCTTTGCCTTCTTCTTGAGCAGTTAACTGGATACTCCATCTAATGTGGCAATTGTCAAAGAAGACATTACTGTGAAGTCCACGGACAGTACTGAGTTGGCCATTAGACCAGAAGTGCAAGGGGGAGAGAAGCCCTCAGCAACCTTGTTCTGAATCAAGAGTTATGTTTAATAGTGTTGAAAGTGAGGACTCTTGTTTTCCTTTGTCCTGTTTTGTTTGTGAGGTGGCCACTTGCTCTTTGTAAGGGTGTTTGAAATCAGAGAGCCGGCAAGGTTGCTGATCTGTGGACCACTTTTAATTAACCTATTTCTCTTGGGCATCTATTTCATACCTGCTAATCCTGAGTTGATCCTCTCCTCTATTCTTCAATACAGATTGGACCTTACCTCTTTCTTGAGTTTTTGTGCTATTGTGGAGAAGGAGAAGTCAAATATATGCAGGTCAGTTAATGTCAAACAATGATTATTACCATGACATAAATAAAATAGGGTGACAGGAAGGAAAACAGTGAAAGATATCTTAAATTTATGCCTCAAAAAAAAAAAAAACAGTATGGAGCTGCAGAATTTTTTGCTTTTTTTCAATGTTTTATGTTATTTCCTGCATTAGTAGGATGGAAACCAAATGTAAGAAAGACTTACTCTAAGTTCTACTGGATKTGACTGCTAGACTTTGAAACAGGTTTTAACAAATTAAAGTGATTCTATAATCACTATAAATTGCGGAAAGGGAGGAATATTTTAACTTAATATAAAACCTTATTTTAAGTTCAATTATTAAAAATCATTCACGTATGTCTATAGAACAGGAACTCTGTAGCTCTCTATGATCATAGTTTCTGGCACTATATGCTTTTGAAAATATAAAACCGAATTAATATTTTTTTAAAACTGACATCTTATCCAATTAGACTGACCTTTTCCCCTGTTTGTTCAGATCAATGAAGTTTGACTAAATATTCGTAAATACATAGGAAAGAGCAGATGTTGAAAAGTCAGGCAACTAGAAAACCCTAGATCTCACATAATTTCTAGATCTAGTGTAAAGACTCAAAGGAAGCAGCTGGTCTTCCTATAAATACCTGAAGAGAGTGCCTGCTGAGGAGGTGAGGGTGTTTAGAAATGCAGATGGGAGGAGGGTGGAGGAAAAAAAAGGAATCATCAGGAATTTCACAATCAACTATTGATATGAGTAGAATCAACCCATTACTCAGGTTCTTTTAAAAAATGTGTTCTATCCATGTCTTTCCTTCAAATTATCTATTGACACATTTTTTTATTCAAATGTCACTGAGATCTACAGCCATGGATAGAGAGAAGAATATTCTCTTTTATGTTCCAGGAAACACTAGTTTCACAGGTAAATAAGTTTCAGACATATTATGGGATACAAGGAGCTCTGTGATCAAATGAATTTAGGATTCTTTGTTAAATTCACACAAATCTGCTTATTGCACATATTTTTTTAGAATCTGTATTATGCCGAATCTATGTGCATTTCTAAAGTGAGCTCAGTAGGTGCACTCTTTCCCAAAACATATTTGACCTTGATTATTTTTGCATAACATTTTTCAGGAATTAATGCTCCAAAGGGAACACCTTATGGTAAGTTGTTTTAAACATTCAGCTATCAAGGAAGCTAGAGCTCTGAGATTAAAACATGGAAAATCAGCCCAAATGTTAGCAGAAGCTTTAGTCCATTTCAAGGATTACTGCAAAATTTCAATTAGGTCTGTACTTCTCAAACTGGGACAGAGGACCAGTTTTGTTTATTTGTTTTGTTTAAATTACTAATTCATCTCTAAATCAAATTTTCATAAAATGCAATGTAAATATATGACTCCGAAAATAAAACAAAGATGTAAAATATGACCCATTTTTTTAAAAATTAGATTCGCAAACATAAAAGTAATATTACTCAGCCATAAAGAAGAATAAAATTTTGGTATTTGCTGGTAAATAGATGGAGCTGGAGATTATCATGCTAAGTGAAATAAGTCAAGACCCCAAAACCAAAGGCCAAATGTCCTCTCTAATACGTGAGTTCTAACACACAATCACACAATGGTGAAGTGGATAGAAATTCACTGGATTAGCAGAATGAAGGGGAGAGAAAGAGGATGGAAATAGGAAAGACAATAGAAGGAGCTGGATATAACAACTTTCCTATGTACATATATGAAACTCCATATCATGTACAACCACAGAAATGGGATCCTAATTAGAATAAGTTATACTCCATGTATGTATAGTATGTCCAAATACACTCTATCATGTATATCTAAAAATAACAAATAAAATTATTCTGTTAAATTTTCATTGAAGTTTTAAAATCCAGACTTGACTCTCAATTTCTGTACTTTGCCACTGCAAGCCAGTAACAGTTTGCTGTCTGACGCCAGTCCATAGTGCCAGTCCATACTTAGACCAGCCCTGAGTCAGGGCAGGTGCACAAGTGGCGTGTGTGCTAGAATCTACAGTTCCCAGTTGGGATGAACTGGACTCTCACAGTTCCTCCCTCCCATTGGTACATGCTATAGGAGAGTCATGTCAATGCCTTTGTGACAGGATATATTTTTATCTGAACATTACAATCACTAATGACCTCACTAGGCTATCACAAAATCCTTTTCTTCCTGCCTTTACCACTCTCCACACCGACTGCACCATGAGGACTCACAGTAGCCTCTGATCTGGATGCTGCATTTTCTCTTTCTTTATGCCAGTCACAAGGACTCCCTTCCCTGGCCACTGCAACTGATTATCTTGTCACCACTGATCTACAGATCTCCAAATACCCAAGTGGGAATTGCTACGGGTTATGCAATTTGGCCACCCTGAAAATATGCTAAATGTCAGCAGCTGTAGTGCAAAATTACAATCAGAAAATTCTCAACAATCTATTATTTGTGGTGTGTATTAGAGGGGGACGTCAGATAAGCACCTCTTGTGTGAGTGTCTGAGTGTTTATCGATTCCTCTTTGGGGAAATGCTCCTTAGCCCCATAAACACAC